CCTGGGGCATCCAAAACCATGGTTAATTCAAAGTTTTGCCTTAGAAACCTAACATTAATTATGGTCTTTTGATTTTTTCCCCCTCATTATGTTATCAACCTAGTTTGTGTTCAAATAATGTTTGCCATATGATTAAAATCTGGTTCCTGAAAGCTTTAAGCAAAATACACCTGAGATGCACAGATGAGCTGTCCTCCTTTGGTTATTTAAGCTTTCTGCCACCTGAATTACAACCCAGCTTCTATATTTTCTTACTTTAGAACTTAAAAAAAAGCATGCATGTGCAGACCACCAAATGAGAATATCTGATCTGTTGGCACACTATGCCATATGAAATCAGATTCACGGCTTAAGAAGGTTTCTCAACAGAATGCTTTTAGTGTGTTTTTCTAAACTCTGAATTAGAGTTGCAACAACAGTCTTTTGCACATATAACAAGGAATATTGCTGAAGGGATTCTTAAAGCCTAGAAAATTTCTTAAAGCTACCTATAGAATTGTAATTACCTTTCCATATTGCTTTTATTTTCATTAGGCTCTGAAAGAATCTTGACCCAGTTTTTGTCCAAGAATGATATACTCTTAGCTGCCCGACCTTCTGCAGGCTGTTTTCTTAGAGGATTATAGGCAATGATTTATGGACCCTTGATTAACATAAAAACTATTTAATGCTTTATATATACATAAACCTCTGGGAGGAGAACATGGATACAAGTTTAGAATCACTCATTTCTGTAGGACAGCATGGATTTTGGAGCATCAGGCTGAGGTTAATTTCAGAATACCAACATACATGCAGTTTTCCTTGCCTTTCTTGATTTCAGATAACAATAAAGGGAATGTGAAGCCTGGGATCTTATCTGGAGTGTAAATTGTGTTTTAAGGTGGGGTTTCAGCAGCTGAGACTATTCTTTGTCTGATTTATCGTACTCCTTTTTAACACCCTGCATATTCACAGTATTACATAAGCAACACTGGACTACCTTGGAAAATAAAGTTCCAGCATTCTTCAGAGTAGAAATTACCTTGGAAAAAGCAGTTTCTTTGGGGAAAAGTTGAAATTGCATTTTTAAAACCTGTTTGTTTTTTGCGAGGGGGGTGATTACTTTTGTCAATTTATATCATTCTCTAAACAAATTTGAGTACCTATTTTCCCCATTTTCATCAGAAAAAATGTCTGGCAATGATTTGGGACCCTATGGTATGTAAACAGCTTCTCAGCTTGCTCAACAATTTAGAAGCTAATAAAAACTAACTAAATAAATTTGCCAGAGAATAACTGGATTTTATTGCCAGTTTCTCAAAGTTATTTTATTTTTGGTAAAACAATGGGACACTTTGCTATACAAACAAGCATGTGGAATGCAACAGATACTCACCTTCACTTTCTTAACTCATTTTGACAACCATTTTGACTGTTCAAATCTACTTTGAAAAGAACAGGACAGGTGTTGGTACAGGGTTCCAACCTTTAGAGGCTTCCCAGTGCCCATCCTCTCTGTCCTCTCCTCCCTCCCTGTATTCTTGCCTGCCACATCTTGATATTAACTCAGTAGGGGAGGCTGCCTGGAGGACAAGGCACACTTAAAGGAATGGGGTTGTGTCTTGGAGCTCCCCAGCCGTGTCCCACTTTTACTCCAGCTGAACCTTCTAGCTTGGGGTGCACTATTCAGGTTTGCCGGCTTCTGGCTTCAGCTTTGGTAGCACTGTGTGACCCCTGGATTCCAAAACTCATGATATTCACCATGTTGCTTGGTAGTAGTCCAAAATTGTATCCTACCTTATGCTATACCTGCTTGGCTAAGCTTTGATTGCAGGGTGCCACCAGTCATTCCCTTTCTGTGACCTCCACCTCCCCCCTTCAGTCACAATTCAGTCTTCTGGGGAACAAAAATGAAAATCATCCAAAATGCCAACACTCATCCCCAGGCACAGCAATATCCCATAGGGGTTCACCTCACTCCTGTGTGGCACGCTCCATGTAGAAAGAAAACAAAACAGAAAAGTGCACAGAGTACTTATCTCAATTTCTGTGCAAGTCCCCAGCCTCTCTTTGCTTGGGCTTCCTTCTAAGTTCCCCCTGCCACAGTATGCTTTCATCTTCATGCTTCCCAGGGCAGGCTCTGTCCTTTGCAGCTCCTCCAGCCAGACTGCGCATCTTTGGCCTAAGCAGGTTCTGTCACCTGACCCTACATTTCCAACTCCTGGGTCATCAGCAGGCTCTGTCTATACCTGGACTTGGCAACCATCTTGTTTCATATCCTCAACCTGTGTGCAAACTGTGCTAGCACCCAGAGGCCCAACAACTCAGACCACACAGTAAGGTTAAGGGAAGGAGTGTGTGCATGTATAGGGAAAG